GAATTCTGTCCAAACTAAGCCTACTTTGGGAAATAAATTACTATTTTGCCTTAATTTGGGAAAAGCTCCTAATTTGGGCAATGATTTAATCGTACGCATGTAAATGGTAACAATTTTAAAAACACTTATTTTGAGGATATTATCTCCCAATCTTGATCTATTTAGACATTAGTATTTCGATAAACTAGACAGATATATCAATAATTTTGAATATGAAGACATTATGAAGATTCTTCTTTTATTTTTCTGTTCATATAATTTTATAGTATAATTTGTATCAAGTATTGTATTTATTCAGTGCGATTGGACAAAATTGGACAAGTCATACAAAAATCTTAAATCATAGTGTAACTTTTTCTATGAAATTATTATTTTTTTCATTGAGTTGAAATAACTCGACTGATTTTGTATGACTTGTTCTTAATTTTTATTTCAAACATTGTTCACGTAATTTTTTAAAACTGGTGGTCCAATCAGTAAGATTTAAGGACAATTAAAGAGAAGTTACTTTTATTTGCTCAAGCTTCTGCCATTAGGGACATTAATGACAAAGTGATTTGGTAGGTTATTTCCTATGAGATTATTCCCTTAGGGAAATAACCTCATACGAAATAACGTAGGAAATAACTTAAAATAAAATGATGTGATACGATGCTAAAAGTTTAAAATACAAACACCTTTTCAAAAGCTGTTTCATTCCATCATGTTTTACAACGAACAAAGGTACAAGTTTTATGAAAAATAAAACTACCTAACAATGTGCAAAGTGCTACAAACTACTAGCAAAAAGAAAAATAAAGCAGGAAACAGCAGTATCAATGTCCTCGGGAGCGGGAATGAGAAGCACTCCTCATCCTCTTCTGCGGGACAACCTCTGCACCATCATCATCATCTTGGTCGGAGCTGTCATCCTCAGGATCCCCCTCAGCCTCGCCTCTGTTCCCCGAACCAAGACCGGAGCCCCCCTCCTCAGCAGATGTCTCTGACTGACGGTCGGTAGCCTCCTCCTCCTCCTCATCATCCTTCTCCTCCTCCTCCTCATCAGGCTCCGCCTCTACAACTTGAGCCCTGCGTCTGCGGACAGGCCCTCCTCGAGCTCCTCGAAAAGGCCTAGATGGCCCGGCTCCTCGAAAAGGCCGGGATGGCCCAGCCCCCTGAAAAGGCCCGGATGAGCCAACTCCCTGAAAAGGCCCAGATGGCCCAGCTCCCCAAGGAGGCCCAGGTGGCCTGCCCTGCGGCTGACCGGACCATGAAGGCATACCAGCGGTGAGTCAGGATCAATGGCGTATCGATCACTGGGCATCGGAGGCTCTAGCTGGATCGGAGTCGGGGAAATAGCCCCATACTGCCACGCCATCAACTCAGTTGGCATATCTGGCCATCCAGGATGAGGATAAGTCGACGGAATCGGAGGAACCGGTCTACCCCCACCTCTAGATGCACCAGCCCCGCTGGCGAAAGGGGCGTCTGCAGCCCGAGCCCGAGCCCGGCCCGAGGATGACATACCAGCAGGTCTCGTCATCGGGGTGCGAGCTCCCGTCAATGGGGGCATCAAATATATGTGACGATAAGTGGCATAGTCCCCCTCCTCAAGATATAGTAAAGCATCACTACCCAGCATGGCGCCGACTACCTCCGAGAAAAAGAGCC